GTCTGGTGCGCTCCACAAAACCAGACGACGAGGAAGCCACCGGTACCTCCGGTGTCCGGCTCCTCGGCTGCGTCCGAAGCACACACAAAACGATCGCATGGCAGCGGTACCACCGGTAGCTGCCTTTGGGGCCTAGCTCGAACGATGGCGCGAATGTACCTGAAGTTGTCCCGGATGTCGGGCGTAAGCTGCGTGGTCGCCTCGTACTGTCGCTCTTTAATGGCCCAGAGGCTCCCTGCCCCGACTTTGCCATACACCCCCTGCTCGAAGAAGTTCAGGATGCCGTAGAGCTTGGCGGCTTGACCTGGGTGTAGGCACGAACTCGATTCTGCGTCGGCTAGCATTGAGGAAACCTTCTGTACGATCCTATCGCGCGGCCAAAAGTGCACCACACCGTCAGAGAGAGCACGGGACATGTCGTGCGCGAGGCCCAGGAAATCCCCACGATGCGACATGGGTTGCCTCTTGGATTCGGCAAAAGGGGTACCCAACAGCGCGTTGAGCTGCCCAAACGCCCACTGACCCGAACCCTTCGATGAAGCCCAGTCTCCCACTGTGGCGTCGTCGAAGTAGAGGGAAACCATGGTCAGCACGAGGCGGCGCCCAAGGGCNNCGGTTGAAAGAGGTCACCGCCAAGGGGAGTCCGAACAGCAGGCCGGCATACACCTGGAACGCAGGCTGCTGCCACTCGTCGTGCCAGAAGCAGACCACACAAGCGCGATTCCTCCGAGGACATCGGCGAGTGGCGGTATGCGTTCGGCCAATCCTCGCCTCCGGTTTGCCAGGAGTCCTCGGCTCGGGCCACCGCAAGGTCCGCCTCGGACATGTAGCTGAGGGTGGCTCGCAAATGCTGGGCCGGCCGGAGCGGGGAACAGCATCTGGTTACCTTCCGGATTGCTGCTGGCCCAATCCCCCAAAGCCAGCTGCTCTTGCGGAGAAAGGCGAAGAAGCTGGCCCACGGTAGGGAGCAGTCGGCGCCAGCTATATGTGGTCATATCCGCCGGCTCCTGCAACATCTCGCGAAAGGCCTCCTGAGCGCTGAGGTTGATCTCGGAAATAGCCCAGGGCTTCCCTGCCCGATTGAAGCAGAGTCCCGCTCTCTTCTTGGCTGCTGGGGAAAGGGCCCGCCAGTCCCGAAGCCATGCCTCCGTCCAAGACCAGCCCGAGGAGAAGCGGGCACAGATGGCGAAATCGAACCCCGTGATCCGCAAATGGGCCTGTTTCCATGAAACGCCGTGGTGGAGACACGACTGGCCTCAGATGGGGGTACCTAAGGCATCCCGCCGCCACC